GAATGTATGCCATGTGTTAATTATTGAAACTGTCCTACCAATTTGATTTGAAACTGTCTCATTGCTATTTGTTTCTCAATAAAATTATTTTTTAAAAAAATCCGTAGGACTTTAAAGCTAGACCAAACCTCAATAGCGCCACCTGTTGGAACCTCTCGGGAACTGCTCACCCGAAGGAGGGAAAGCACTTTTGGACCCAGGTGACCTTTTCATTAGCTTCTAATTTGAGCAAGGTTTTCTAATGTGGTCAAATAACCAAAATTAATACCAAACCACACGTTACAATGGATAAGCACCTGCAGTCTGTCTCCCCTTCTCAGAGTTTCAGAGTACAGCAAACAGGTCTCTCCATCTCCAGCCCCGACTGTTTCTTACGTTGCTCCCTTCTTTTCTTAGGATTGCAGGCATCTGACAGTTTATTCACACCTTTCACCTGCTGATCAGGAAATGTAAGGCCCAGGGGGCAGAGCTATTATTTATCTGATTCACTGTTCCTACACTGCAAGGCAGCTTAGAGCAAAGAAGTTTCTTAGTGTTAGAACAAGCGACTCAACTCCAAATGAACTCCAAGTAGGTCCTCTTTGCAGGAGGCATGGGAAGGCCGGCCTGGAAGTCACTGTGCCCTAAAGACCTTAGGTAGGAACAGCTGAGCCAGTTGTTAGAGCACAGACTCCGCAGGTTGGGAATGGAGGCCGAGGCGGGGCCAGCACCCATTTCCACTGCACTCAGAACATGCAGCTACGGAGGACAAGCTGCAGGGGGCCCGTACCAGCCCCCATCACAGCCACTGTGCCCAACACCTCCTGCCACTGGGGCTTAATACTCAACTCCTGAAGCATGGGAGCAGCGAGGTTTATTTGCATTGGGGGAGCACTGCCGCAGGGGCCAGGCACCTCCATCACCCCCAACTTTTTTGGCAGAACCGGGGATTGAACTCAGGCCCTTGCGCTTGCTCGGGAAGCGTGTATTCCACTGAGCCATCTCCCCGGCCCCCACCCCCAGCTCCAGCTTCTAAAGGCACAGCAGGACAGCTCCATAATCCCATGGCCTTCCAAACCGCCCCCCTCCCCGAGCACAAGGCTCTTGGGGACATCCTGACACAGACACGGGCTAGGCCAGCGCCTGCACACTCGCAGGGATGTGGAGTTGCTACCTACAAGGCATCCTGCCAAGAGCACCGCAGGCTCCCAAAGCACAGACAGAAGGTCCCAAGGCAGGCTGGATGACATACACACCAAAGGTTAAGGCAATGCCAGCTAAAAACAGAAAAGGTGTGAACTAGAAAGTATCACCACTCCTCTCACCCATCCTACTGTGCAGGAAGCAGTCTGCACGCGGCCTGAGACATGTGTGATCACACCGCTGGCTGCAGGCAGAGCACCGTCACAGCGACCACCACCGAATCCGCTTCCTGACCTTATATTAATTCCGGGAAATCAGAAACAGCATCTCCAAAATGCTGAGTGCATTGTAAAAAATAACCACTTTATTCAATATTACAGTTTCAGTATTTTTTCTTTAACAAGTGAAAGAGAAGAAAATGCCACTTAACATCACATCAGAATGGACCAGCAGGAAAAAAATACTGCGATAAACTTGTCTCTGGTATCAAAAACTTCAGTCCGAGCTGTAGGTGTCCCCTGCGTCTTCACCTGGTACTTCTTGCTGCTGTTCTTCACTCTTCCCCTGTTCCACAGGAGAGGACTGGTACAGCTTTTGTGGCTTCATACCCGGGAGCAAATCTCTTGGTTTCTTCTCCGAAGGCACTAACCCATCAGGTAGCCCCTGCCCAAACAGTCATACACACAGAAAGTGAAAAGGAAGCAAATCTTAACATGACCAAATTTTAAGCTGAATCAAGGAACAAGCCAAAAATGTAACTGTGATTTCTTATGGCCATTTATGTTTCTTATCTTTCCCCCTTCACTCAACACCTAAGTACTAGGACTCAGCTCTATCACTCTTCTCCCTCAAGGAGATAAAGTTACAAAGCAAATACAATGGTTGAACAAATACACAGCGAATGTCTCCATTTTAAGAAGTTTATTAGGAGGGGCCGGGGAGATGGCTCAGTAGAATAAGTGCTTCCCTGACAAGCGCAAGGGCCTGAGTTCAATCCCTGGTTCCACAAAAAAAAAAAAAAAAGGCGAAGTTTATTAAGGCTGACTGTAGTAGCACACTCCTGTAATCCTAGCACTCAGGAGGCTGGGACAAGAGGATCACTGTGAATTTGAGGCCAGCCTGAGTTACACAGCAAGTTTAAGGCCAGCCTGAACTACTAGGTAGACACTCTATCTCAAAAGAAAAAGAAATTTGTTACAATAAAAGATACACTGACATGAATTGCTCTTAAAATCCTCCCCTTGATACAACACACTCATCCTTCTTGCCAATTTCAGAAGCAGTTCTAAAGTCCGCTTTCTCAAGTGTCTTTACAAAATGTGCTAAAAAATGCAGCATCATTGAAGGGTCATAAAAATATGACCCTGTAGTCGTCCTCCACCTTAGTTACCAGTCTGGCACTGCGGGACTTCTGGATCCTCCCCAAAGCAAAAATGGCCACAAAAAACCATTCTGAATGGATTCAGGACATTGAGGCAGCCTGGACGGCGCAACTCAAGACACTCAGAAATGACCACAGCTGCTGCTGATAGTGGCCAGAACCGGGACACGTGCATCAGAAGGCAGGGGAGTACCTCAAAGGGGTGATGGCAATGTGTCTTTTACTGTAATAAATTTCCTATAGCAACCTTTCTGTATTTCTCATTTGAGGATCTGAAAGCACTTTATTCCTCATTAGGACATAGCTGCTCTTCCTAGCACTCACACTCACCACTGGGAACTTGTACAAACAATCAATTTTCCATCACACCTCTTATGCTAAAAAAAAAACCACAGAAATAATAAAAAGGTAGAGAAAAAAATGTTATACAAGGGTTAAGAATCAGGCAGCCTGGTATGATGGTACAATCCCAGCACTTGAGAGGCTAAGGCAGGAAGACTGCTTCAAGTTTGAGGCCAGACTGGCTACACGGTGGCCAGCCTGAATTATATAGCAAGATTCCGTCTTACAAAAACAAAAAAAAAAAATTTAATAAAAAAAAAAAAAAAAAAAATGGGGGCCAGGGAGATGGCTCAGTAGAATAAGCACTTGCCTGGCAAGCACAAGGGCCTGAGTTCAATTCCCGATTCCACCAAAAAAAAAAAAAAATTTCAGTGCCCCTGGGAATCTCAGAATTACAACCACCAAAGCTCTGTATGGAAAGAAATGGTTCTGGGCACTTAACAGCCCGAATCACCAGAGAAAGCAGAGGATGAGGAGAGACTCCTGACCAGGGGCCTTTGGGTTCTCACGACAGCGCAGGGCCGGCTGCATCCCCCACTCTCTCAGGAAACACCAGTGCGGCCAGGGCTACAAGACGACAACGAGGGCCCCTTTTGTTGGGCACCTAAGAGCACAAGTGCCAGCCACATCTTGTTAAGTGAAAGCAGTAAACTTGGTGTTAGAGGTCCTGCCTTTCCTTTGATAAATCCTTGTGATCTACTACAAATCCACAGGATCTGAGAAAAAGCAGAAGCGCACAGAATGTGGGCATTGGCTCAGAGTTTTCACACGGTGCCACCTGGGCTGGAGGCTTGAGCGTGCCCAGATTGGGGAACCCTACACCCCTGGGAGACAGAGTCCTGGGCAGCACTGGGCAGCCTGCGTGGGCAGCCACTCTCCGTCATCGGCTCACACTCCCATCAGCCTCCACTCTCCTTCTGTAGGACAGGACTTGAAAAAGCCTCCTTCAGTGCTGGCAGAGGCACACACAGGGCCTGCTCCCCTTCCTTCCAGCTGGAAGCACACTCACTGGCACCATGGATCCAGATCCAGGGTAGCAATGCCCTGCCAAGCACAGGCCCAACCCGCTTCGACAGAGCCTTGCCTTCCGGAGCACGCTCACCCGACCTCAGCGCCCCACACTTCTTGCTCCCCCTGCCTGGAGGAACACGCCAACCTGTGCACCCATGTGAATTCCCTGTTTATAGGAGACTTTCATAGCTAAGCTGCCCAGCTCCAGGTCTCCAGCAGGCATCCTCCACATCCACACCAGGCACAACAGGCAGGCACTCTGCAGATAGCTGACCCTGGTGGAAGCCTCCCCTGCGGCCTATGAGTGCATGCTCTGGACCTCTATCCTGTCCAGGTCCCACTCGGGGCTCTTGCCCAGATCCACTGTGTGGCTACTTAATTACTGAAGCCCACAGGTCACTGTCAAACTACACCAAGATGGAAAAGAATAAACTGATACATCCTATTCCAAGCTCCTAGAGTGGAGTGGAATGGTACATGACTGTAATCCCAGCACTTGGGAGGCTGAGGCAGGAGGATCTTTGTGAGTCTGAGATAAGCCTGGGATACAAAGTAAGCTCAAGTCCTGCCTGATGAGACCTTGTCTCAAAACAACAACAAAATAATAATAATGCCTATTCCAAGGTGCTACACCAACATTCAGTCCTACGTTCCAAAATACTGAGAGGATGCTAAGGAGTATTATGCTTAAAGAGTGAATGTGCGAGAAAAAGAGCAAGTAAATCGATACCATCTAGTGTTTTCTGGTAGGAAACAAATGTGTTAAAGCCAGGTCCAGTGGCTCATACCTGCAATTCCAGCACTTGATAGACTGAGGAAGAATGTTTCCCATGGGTTCAAGGCCAGCCTGGGCTACATACATAAGACTCTTTCAAAAAACCAAACACAAAGGATTCTTCTGGAATCATTTGAAACCTTCTTATATAGCCCAGGAAATTTCATAATCTTTAATTATTATATTCAGGCCTGTGATAATTCCACACAAATATTATGGATAAATACAATTATAAAGCCAGGCATGGTGGCACACAGCTGTAATCCCAGTACTCAGAGGCTGAGGCAGGAGGACCAACACAAGTACAAGGCCAGCTTGGGTTACATATGAGTTTAAGGACAGTCTGATCTACGTAGCAAGATGCCATCTCAAAAAACAAAAACAAAACAAAATCATAAAATAAGCACACCAAGAGAAAAGCCATCTCAAAAACCAGAGACAGGAGAAGCCACCGTGAAGATCTTCTATGTAGCCTGTGCTGAACAGTCAAACTGACTGCGTCCTGTGTTTTAAGGCAGGCATCATGCCAGGTCAGCGAAACACAGAAACCGCCCAACATGTGCACTATGTCTTACGCTGCACCACTCCTAAAAAGGTGTGCAAGAGCTAAACCTGTAGCTCAGTGGCAGAATACTCCCAAGCACATGTGAGACCTGGGTTCAATCCCCACCAATATGCTGGAGCAAAACAAACACTCTTCTCATGTACAGCTGAGCGGGACTGCAGGAGCCGGGAAGCAGTCTGCTGAAACACAGACCTCCGCATCCTGCCCCACCACCTAAGCTCAGTAACCTCACTTTCTTCTTTTATGAACACTAACAGTTGATTCATTTAAAACTGTGGCCAGAAGCCAGCCTGAAATACAGAACTCTGAGGATTCTGTTTGTCGTTAAAATAAAAAACACATTAACATTAAAAGGAAGCACATACACCTGCCCATTTAATCTCAACAGGGACTCCCTGGGGTACAGCATTTCTCTGTCTTTAAAGTATCTTCTGGTGAATTCCAGAAGTGAGAATAATACTGTGGTAGGGGAGATTTTTAGTCCATTTACTGCTGCTGCTCTTTGAGTACTGTATAGGTTGAGTGCTCCTCATCTGAAATCTAGGATTGGAAACTGAGCAGTGCATGGCACCACAAATGGAAAATTCCATGCCATGAAACCATGTTTCCTGTATAAAATTATTGAAAATGCTATATAAATTACCTTCAGGCTATGTGTGTGAGACATCTGTGACAGCTGAGAGAGACCGTGTTTGGACTCAGATGCCCCCTCTGCACAAACAGGGCAGAGTTGACATGTGGGCGCTCCTCCCTCCTCCACCCTCAGCACTGCCTTTCTGGTCAGTCCCAGCCTACGGAGCACTCAGTGGCCCGCCTGGTAACCACCCTGCCAGGTACATGAGAGGCTCCTACATTTGGAGCTGTACTCTAGAAGATTAAGGCTTTGAGCCTGGCAGCTAGGGTGTCTCCCTGCCCCCCAACGAGTAAAATCTTGTATCAGAGCTTCATTTTTAGCAGATGGGAGATTCTCATGGCACAGAACATGTGCACGGCTGCTGCAGACAGCAAGTAGAGGAGGGAGAGTGTGGAGCAGGCTCTGGGCTGGCTGCTTCATGGCGGCTCTGTGAGCTCGGCCTCAGATCCCAGCTCTGTTGGCTGCTGGCTTTTTAAACTACCTTCAACAGCAGTGCCTGCATTTCCTCCTGCCCTCACATGGCGAAAGCAGCCGAGGGGACCTACTGATCTCACTGCTGTTGCGGACCAACTTGCAACCTCGAGCAAGTCTTTGGCTCTCCATTTGCATTTTTTCAAAGGAATGGCGAATTCAATCTATGACTCTGTCTTGTCCAAGTAACCTTTACCAGTTTCTAACAGAAGTTAAACTATGCATCACACAAAGTATTTCCCGACTTACGGCAGCTTCATCCTCATGAATACTCTAGCCATGAAGAAGCTCAATAGGACACAGACGAAGCCAATGAACAGAAGAAGAAATCTGTTGAGTTTTGGAATATTTGGTGCGTTGGATCGGTCCAAGATTATGAAGCCTAGCCCTCCCATGGTGAACAGGAAGCTGCTCGCCAGGCCTTCCATGATGTACTGCCCATTTACTCTGCAACAGAAAGACCACGGCAAAAAAGTGAGCATTTCACAAAAATAAATGCATCCCTTTCACTGTATGCTTAAGTGTCTTAGGCGAATTTTTTATTTTTACCCTTAAAACTATAATAAGTATTCTAGATAACCATCTGCTTATGATTTCAAGAAATATTTACTGAGAAATCAGATATCAAACACTACTCCAGTTTCTAGAATACAACAATGAACAACAACAAAAGTATTCATGGAACTATGATTTTTTTTTAAAAAACAAACAAACAAAAAAAAGGTTTAAAAAACCAACACAACTGTCTACATAAAATCATTATGCATATTTTAATTAACTTAAAGGTCAATTATTGGACCAAGGATATAACTCTGCAGGACAGTGCCTGCCTGGCAAGCACAAGGTCCTGAGTTCAACTCCCAGTATCAAAAAAAAGTCAATTATGAGTATGAACTTTTTACCAAGAACTTTAGCTTTTAAAAGTTATTACACTAGGGGCCAGCGAGCTAGCTCAGTGGACTAAGCACCTGCCTAGGCAAACACAGGGACCTGGGTTCAATCACCCACGCCACAGGCCGCACCAGCCTTGTCCCTGGGCACACTGAGCCAGCCACAGAAACCAGTCATGCTGGTGCACACCTGTAATTCCAGCTCTGGGGAGGATGAAAACAGGAGGACCACTAACGTACAAGCTACTTAGTGAAACCCGGTACCAAATACATAGAAAAAAATAAAATAAATTATAGTACTTAAATGTTTATTATCAATTTTAAATTAATTTTGAACTGGTTAGGAATGTTTCTTGAAGTTTTGTCATAGTGAACTTCCTGTTTCCAAGAAAAGTATCTTAAAAACAAATGCTCCTCACTAAGGCCCCGACATCCACAAGAACTCCAGCAACCTATAAACCCTTACAATCATGTGCAAATTGTGGCTATACACACACATATACATGATTTTTCTACACATGTAAAGCTTTTCAAATTTTCAGACTTCAGGGACCCCCCAAAAAAACAACTCCACTAAAAGGACTCTTACAGGTAGGTATTATAAACAACATATAAGATGTAATATACGCACCCTACAAGAGGACAAGAAAGGGCTTGCTCCTATTAAGAGCTCCCATCAGGCTGGGCGTGGCACGGCTGAGATAGGATGCTTCAAGTTCCAGGCTAGCCCAGTCCTCAAATGGGCTTTGGAAAGCAACAGGCTAAGCGCTGCTCAGGGAGCTGCACCACACCAGAATGGTGTTTCCTTGTTGAAACAGAACCTTTTAAGTCTCAAAAATTATAGTGTAATGTGTAATGCAGGGCTTCATTGTCTGTGTTCTTAAATACCCAGAAAACAGATGTCAAAGGCCCAGGGAACCACACATTCTAGAGGCCTGGCTAGAATGTCCAGGGCCCCAGGCTCCATCCCAACACCTGAATACCCTGGGCTTCTTGGTCACTGGTTTGTGTCCCTCTCTCAACTCGGCTACTAAGGCTTGAAAACAGATGTGTAGTATATAATGAACATGCTTAATTCCAATAAAGTTTATAGAAATGAATAAATAGGCCAGTTTGCTGCCCCTCAGAAGAGCCTATAAATGTATTTAAAATGAGACCCTCCTTACACTGCTGATGCGCTGATCACTGTGAAATATCAACTTTCTAGTAAAGAATAAAACACTTGGCTTCCTCTTGTCCCACTGTAGAATTCCACATTTTAAAACAGCTGAGGAGATAGCTCAGTGGTTTAAGTACCTGTCTGGCAAACGCAAGGTCCTAAATTCAATCCCTGGTACCAAAATATAAAAATATTTTTAAAAAATAAAATAAATAAATGCAGATGGGGCCTATGGGTTTATTGTATTTTTAATAAGTAGCCCCACCCCAGAGATACTCATTCCCACCACCAATCATTAAAAAGCTCTTTCACCTGTAGGCCAAGAACGCCACCGGCCTCTGATGCCCATGCTCATCTGTCATGGAGCCGACACTGGGCGGCTCCACAATAACATCATAAATTATTCCTGCAAGAGATAAGAGTACCCGTCAGTCTGGCTTCCCAAATTTTAAAAATGGAATTATAGTTTTCATTGTCTCTACAAGGACATTTACATTTAAAATGGGGCTACTTCTATTATATTCCACAGGCAAATGTGGTCCAACTAACCTGTGCTTTGATGAGCCATTCAGACATGCAACTCCATGTTTCAGAATGACTTCCAAAATAATCCTACCTCTGAGATACCAGTTTCATGAAGGAAATATATTCACTAATATCACTAATACTCAATAAGGACTCTAAAAGGGAGTTTTAACATTAAAGGCTCTCCCTCCCTTCAATACTACTCCACTACTCTTGGACTTGCTTCTATAACCTGACAGATGACTACAACATAGAGAAACTTTCTTGCTTAAACACAAAACAAGGAGACCTTTTTAAAACCCATCATCTGGCAGTCTGGCAACCTAGCAATTCACCAATCACCAGTGAATGGTAAGGCCACTGTACAATGTGTCACATGATCACTAATATTCCTCTCTACTGACATTCTGACAGTCTCCAACACCCTCCTTTCCAGCTTTTCTTTTTGTTTTTGTTTTTTATTTCACACAAGGTCTTACTATTGTAGCTCAGACCAGCCTTGGGCTCACTACAGAGCCCAGGCCGGCCTTGGACTCTCTGGTAATCCTCCTGCCTCAGCCTCCCAGAGTGCTGGGTTTGCTAGGGTTACAGGTACACACCACCTCACCCAGTTTCTTCCAACTTTCCTTAAACATAGCAGGCTTGTGTCTCCCTCACTCCAGCCTGAGAAAATAAACACACAGTAACTGCATCATCTTCCCAGCTAAGGGACAAACCCCAAGTGCCTGCTTTCCACTCAGGGACAATAGGAGTTCCTCTCTGTCAAGCACAGCAGTGCTTATCTGTAACCCCAGCAATCTGGAGGCTGAGGCAGGAGGATTGCAGGTTGGAGGCCCACAGTGGGCAAGTAGAGGAGACCCTGTCTTGAAATACTTCAAAAAGGGCTGGCAAGACAACTCAGTGCAAAGGTCTTGGGCTCAACCCACAGTATTCACCCCACCAAAGAAAAAGGAAAAGAAGAAAAAGAAAAATAAGACTTCTCCTGCCACTGTGGGGTCCCTTCTGCAACGATAAAAAGGCCACTCTCTCCTGCCCTCTCAGGGATTTTATCCTTCTCCATACCTCTTCTCTCTCCTGTCTTTTCAGGTCCTCCTTCCCCTGTTGACTTCAGAGACTCCTAACATCCAGTTTCTATGCTTCCTTCTAAAGATACCCAGACTTGTTTCTGGCAAAATTGAAGCAAGCTTGCCTTTCCTTAATTACCTCATTCCAAGCAGCTTCTCCCTCGCTCCTGCTAGATCACCAATGACCTCCATGTGGTCAAGTTCAGTGGACACTTTCTCACGCAAGGAGTCTTCCCAGCATCTCAAGCTGGTTTACTTACCCAAATGTTTAAAAATCACCCTCCTCTTAGAGCTTTTATGACACTTCTCTCTCATGTTTTCCAGCTACCTCTCTAGCTGAACCTCTTAATATGAAACCATGAAGAGTTCTATAAAACCATTAAGCCAGAGTCCCTCCAGCCTTGGTCTGTACCATTCTCTATTTGCTCCCTAATTAAACTCCCAGGGTTTTAACTCTAGGTGTCATCAATTCACAATGTACAAAGGTTTCTCAACTTACATGAGCACCAGTACTGCTGAGTAAAAGCTCCTAAGAACAATCTGCCTGTGCTCTTCAGCATCTGACTTAGAGGGTTCAGGAAATACTCAAGTAACCAAAAGGACCTCTGTTCTCAGTTCTAGACTCGCGAGTATAAACTTCACAGAGCCAACTAATTATAACCTCAAGTGACCTCTGGTCCTCTATTTCCTACCAAAAAAAGTTTCTTCAATCTCAGAATAAAGGGACACTCTCACTTACAGGCTGCAATCAGGAAGAGTCCTTCTTAGTGTGCCTGCAACCTATCAAACCTACTGCATCAATTCCAACACACTTTCACTATGTGACCCTTTGTCCTGCTGCCACCTAAGCCACAAGAGTTTAAGTCAACCACAAAATCCACCTATCTGTCTCTTGGTTCCGCTCTTGTCCACACTTTTCCCTCTGTGACCCTACACTACCCCTTCTAATCTTGCAGATCTGGACTTTCATGTCACTATCTCAAGAACGACATCCTAATTAAAATGACATTCCTAATTCTATTTTTCCATAATCTCTTATTCTTTTCCTTCACTCTTAACTGTGACCATTTGAAATGGTAAAAGTTTTGCAATACTACTATATCTCTAGTGTAGCAATGTAAGATTTAGGAGACAAGATGTCTATGTTTTCACTGAGAGAAGCTTGGTTATGGTTATATTTGTTATTTCTTAATGAAACATTGCTTATTTAAGAAAGTACACTCAGCTTTGTGTTATTTGTTCTGAGACAGGGTCTCACTATGTAGTTCAGCCTGGTGAACTCCCTATGTAGCCCGGCTGGCCTGGAACTCACACTGTTGCTTTTCCCTGAGGTTCCAGAGGGCTGGGATCACAAGTGTACACCACCATGCCAGGCGTCACTCCCAGTTTTTACAAGACTCCTTTCCAACAGCCAAACTGATTACTTGTAACAGACTTCACCACTGCTAAAAGGTGTCCTTTCTACACAACGCTCCCCCCCCCCATGGCTAGCTTTGAGAATCTCCCCATAATAAAGGGGCCAGAAGGGAAACTTCCGGCTTCCAGCAAAGGCTCTGACTCCAAAGGAATAAGGGTCACAGGAAAGGTATTTGCAGAAGACTGTACTATTCATTCAAAGCAAAGCCACGTGCTTTCAAATTTCATTTATTCAGCAGTCGCTCTTAATGTCTTGTGCAAGTGTTAATGGTAATGTAATATCTTTGAATGAACACAAGGTATCACTATTCTAGAAGGGGGCGAAGGGTTAAAAAAAAAAGCAGAACCACTTCTGCTAATCTGTAAAACTTTAAGTTCGTCTTCTCTAAACCAAGACCACTGCTTTGCAAAATGTAAAAGTACAGTATCACGATCCTGAGCATGTCTTGGAATTAAGGTTGGAATGGCTGGTGGCTCAGAAAGCCTGCACCAGACTGCCAACTCAGCAGCGAACCGGGCGACGCCCCTTTTCAAATTTTTACTTAAAGAGGACAAGATACAATGATATTTAAGAATTGTTTAATAGTAAGGCTGACTTGGGTCTTTAAAAAAAAATTCTACCCTCTAAAAGACAATACCTTCTGCAAATCTCATCTCCAATTTTAATACGTTATTAAAACTGTGATTTCGCAAAATTCTATTCCGATTTACTGAGGTTCACACCACAAGCAACGAGAGCCTCAGGTGTGAGCTCGCAGCCACCTCAGGCCTGTCAGATCCCTCCCAAGGCTGCAGAGCCGGCGGACAAGAAGTCAGCGCGCCCCGCACGCCGCGGAGCAGCAGGCCGTGCAAGCAGCCCGAGAGCACGCCTGACTTTTCCAAGACCTCGGGAGACGGGAGGATGAATGGGTCGTGAAAACACAATGACTGAGGCTCGGGAAACAGCTACAGCTCTGTGACAGCACGCCACGAGGGCTGGCCAGGCGGAGGAGGTAGCACGCGAGCGCTCTCCAGGGCACGCGAACCCGGGCGAACACCCGGGACCCTCGGCCAGGACCGGACGAGCGCCGCGCCCGGCCTGGCCCGGCCCGGCCTCCCGTTACCTCCGGTGATGAGGAAGTAGGACACCACCACCAGGGCATACACCGTCATAGCGGACGGCATGTGCACCCATGGCGGCTTCTTCAGCTTCAGGTTGGGACATTCGAGAACTAGGAACGGGACGCGGTACAAAGTCTCCATGTCCGCGGCCGCAGCGCCTGCCCGGGCCTCCTGCCCCACGCGCAGCCGGAAGCCGGCCCGCCCTCTTCACGGCCCGCGCATTCGCGAGCCAGCAACAGGCAGGTCCGTGAAGCTCAGGAGTGGCTCTATACTAATCGTAGAAAAAATAGAGCACCAACTTAGAATAGTTAAATAGCATAATGCATTCTATACATTAATTATACCTTTAAAGTTAAATTGGAAGAGAGAGCTTGGTTGTGTGGCAATAGCTAGGCCTGCTATTATACACCTTCAAGGACCTGAGAGGTCTCAGACGTGGCTAAACCAGAGGAGCGGTGGTAACCGGATCTAACTGAGCCCCGCCCCATTTGCTGACGCCAGACATGGAAGCTGATTGGACACCAGCTTCTCCAGGTTCTGGGAGCTGGTGAATGAATGGAGACTTTTGCAAAGGTTCTTTGAGAAACCCCTAGGTCGCTGAACTTTTATCCTCCTTTCTTTAAGGATAATAACAGCAAGAACAATTGTTAAAAAATACTACGATAATATGTTATCAATAAGATTAAACCAGGTCAGACAGACATTTTTGGCTTGAGACACGTTATTGAGTTGATATATATATATATATATATATATATATATATATATATTTTTTTTTTTTTTTTGTTATTTTGTTAATAAGCAATGTGCCATAGATTTTTACTAGATGCTACGAATGTTTTGCACTTTTAAACTGGTCAAGCAATGGCCGTGAGTCATACACATGACTGACACTGACAAAAGATCTACAAACTGAGGTACAGGGTTTCAGGGTAAGTCCTGAGGGGATTTGACTGACCTTGTCAGATACAAAAGTTACATTTTTTGTTATATAGGTCTTGTTTTATCTTGGTCTTAACCATCCAGCAGAAAAGTATAAAATCGAAGTATAAAAAGTAGAGCCATATTAATATGCTGAGCTGTAAAAGGTTCAAGTCAACAACTTCTGACACTGCCAGTCTTGCGGATAACGCACTACTATTATGGACTACTGGATTATGTTGGATTACTCTGCTGAATTCATGCACCTACAATATATGAATGGCAATGGAATACACATCTCTGACAAAAGTAAACAAAAAAGGGGATATAAATGGACCATTTTGTAGTGGAAATATATATATATATATATATATATACAAAATAGCATAAATATACAGCTACTTCCTCTTAGTTCAATGAGAAGAAGGTTTTAATTAACAGTGTTTAGAGAAAATATCATGTCTGCATCTTGTACTAGGAATAACTATTACAAAAACAATATGCAATATATTAATTGTTGTAACTGTACTACTCGCCTGTTTTGAAACTATGTCATTGTTACTTCTTTTTCAATGAAACTATTAAAATATAAAAAATGTTTGCACTTTTAATCAGTTCATAACTCAATTATTGAGAAATGATTTGAACACCTATACCATGATAAAAGAAATCACAGGCAACCAAAAAGTTGACAAAAGAGACTTTGTCATTTCTAAAGGGTGGATGCTCTGTAACAAGTGAGATACTCCCTCTAAGGTAAAGGCTATTTGTTGCATCTGACTGGGTGGTTTTTGTTTTTGTTTTTGTTTTTTTTTCACTAAGAAAAATAAACAGTGCTTATAGAACCATTTTGGGGATTTTGGAGGCAACATATACATCATTTAGTGATTCTATATTGACTTATTTACTAAGTAATACAATAAACTACTAGTTTTGAGTGGCAACTACAACATAAATGGCTCTTGGCACTTGGGCCATTTGACTTACCAGATCCCATACAGAGAAGGATGTCAATGGACTTTATGACAGCACCAGTAGATGAACCACTGCACAAACCTCTAAGCCTTTGGAACAAACCTGTGCCATCCTGTAGTTTCTGACTTGCTACTGAGCCTTAATGGACACTACTGACCATGTCCACCAAGTTTCCATAAAATCTGAATTATCTATCTGATTTGGTATTGTGGTTAATAACCTATCAACTCATAATAAATGTTGGTATCCATAGCAGTATTCCATCATCAAATGAGAGTGCTGTGTACAAGAACAAGTAGGGATTAAAGGTATACATAAGCTGTATGTCCAACAGCTCAGTTGGACATGGCCTCCATTGCCTCTTCTCTCCCAGCCTATATATATACCAGAAGAGGAGAGAGAGCTCAAGGGGTCTTCTGCATTCTGTCTGGCATTGCAGCCGCGGACATGAAGACTTTGTATCACATTCCATTCCTAGTTCTCGAATGTCCCAACCTGAAGCTGAAGAAGCCGCCATAGGTGCACATGCCGTCTGCTATGACGGTGTATGCTCTGGCGGTGGTTGTCCTACTTCCTCATCACCAGAGGTAATGGGAGGCCGGTCCAGGCATATATATATATATATATA